CTGTATGTATTAAACTGCTATCTTCTTCTTCTCCTTGATTCCTGTCCTTGAAAAGCAGTGATGGATGGATGGATTGGATGCTTGGTGTTGTCTATTATGATGTTGTTGTTTTTTACTTTGTTTTTATGGTGTAACTATGTAATCTGGTGGTAAACAAATGAAATGGGAGTGTGACTATTTTCTCAACAATACTATTATTTGCTAATCACTAGTCTTGTAAATTTGCATTTCCTTCATCTTAATATTACTTTATAACACTTTTATTAGGACAATATGGCTATACTATGATATGGACATCATTTTTTATGGTATAACATCACTTTACCCCATCTATAGTCTATAATTTGCTAGTCCACAAGTTTGAATTTTGCTTCGACCTTGTTCTCTATAATTGTCTAAACCATATAAAATGCTTAAGTTATCTATCTAATTTCTTTCCTAATATGTTGCGATATTAACATAATTGACCATTTTTTTGTTTTAATTTTGATTTGACTTTTCTGTTTTTCTTTCCTTATTTTTGCACTTTACCGAAATGACCTTGGAGTTCGGAACCAGTCATTAGAAAAAAATAGTGTGTTTTCCTTATCATTTGCACAAAACACTTATCAAAAAAAAAATATATATATCTACACAAGTCCGAAATAGAAATTTCAAAATGTTTAATATCATTCGCTTTTCAATCAATTTGACACATTTTAAGCTTTTGTATCATATCTATTTCCCAGTTGTTATGTTTCTTTAACTTTTGTTAGATTTCAGTAAACAAAAAAGAAGTAGTTTCTTGAAATCCTAGAATTGTTCATCCACAATGCATAAACTTGCATATCTGCAAATATACCTTTAAATTTCCAACAATTCCCGTGAAGTTATAAAGTTTCCTTTCACTCAGGCCGACAACATCTCGTCGTCACCTATGTCACGAGGATTAAACCCTAGTATAATGTGAATACACAATACGAGACCAATTCAATGGTATACTTAAGGATTTAAATCAAGAACCTTGCGACCTCTGCTTTACCTCAACACATCACCTTCCATCTTTGTGTTCTCACTAAGTTTTAATATGGTCATGTGTAATAAACCATTTTCACGACCCTTTAGAAGATAAACCACTTATTTTCATTTGAGGTGACACCACCTCTAGATCATATAGACAAAGTTTTACAACGTCTTCAGTGCTTAAATGTCTCCAAAACTTTGTTAAGAGCGTTAATTCATCCTCGTTCTAGACAACGACGTACTATCATACCTCACACGAGTATATCATAATTGATAGTACCTTCTATCGTCAGTGACTTCAATCTACCTTTTAACCTTGACAATTATGAGCACTTATGTTACCGTGGGTTTCCATCACTAAACGATTATAGTATGGTGTTATACCCATGACTATCTTGGTAGATGTAACCAAATCTGTTGTCAGATGTTTGTTTAGTGGGGTTGCCAAGTTCCTACTTGTCTTGACATAGACAACTTTGATGTCACCACTTTAGTTCTCTAATTAAATTATGTCGTAGACTAACGTGTCTTGACTTCCGATTATACATAACGTCATATTTTTAGACAGTGTGGCCTCACTGTCATAATACATAGGAATAAATGGCATTAGAATATCCCACAAACGTATATCCAAGAGTAGATCTCTAATCCACTATTCCTCTTTGTTTGTTGTTATTAAGGCAATAAACTCGACCTCCAACGTCGAGTGAGCTAAACATGTTTGTTTCTTGCTCGCCCAAGAAACAACACCACCAACTAGAGTATAAATTCAGTGACTAGTGGATTTTGTATCACTGATGTGATCTATCTATCTAACAATAGAATAACCTTATAGTATTCCGGGAGGTGATGGGTATATCAACTCAAAAGTACTTATCTTTAGGTATTCTAGTAGTTTTCCCACTTCCTTCCGGTGCTTCGTCCTTGAGTGGAATATATATTGACTCAGTTTGCTTACAGAAAATGTGATGTCTGGTCAAGTTCAATGTATGACATACATCATGCTATCGGTTTCACTTGCATATTCTAGTTGATCCATTACTGAACCAAAGTTTACATTTGGTTTCACACTTGAATCAAAAGGAGTGTTGAATTCATTAATATTGAAATGCTGAAACTTTGTCAGGATTTTCTCTATGTAATCAGATTAACGAGATAAATAGGACTACATGTCATTTTCACCTTGATACCAAGAATGGTATCCACTTCTCCTAGATATTTCACATGATATGTATTTCTTCTTCTTAGAAATTCCTTCCACGTGAGTATCAATGATCAACATAGCATCAACATAAAACATAAAGACATATAATGGCTGTGTATTCGAATGTGCATTTAGAATAAATACACCTGTCAACATTATTGTGCTGAAATCCGAAAGCAGTCACAATGGTGTCAGATATCCCATGTCATTGTTTGAGAGCTTGCTTCAAACCGTACATGGATTTAATAAGTTTAGACACTTCGTTTTCCTGTCCGGGTATCATAAAACCTTTAGGTTGCTCCAAATAGATCTCCTCATTGAGATAATAATTTAGGAGGACTATCTTTACATCCATTTGATCAATGTATAGTCATTTCAAGGCTAAGATTGCTATAAGAGTTCTAATAGAACTAATCCTAGCAACCGGAGAATAAGAAGAAGCACCTACTCAGCCATTACACCCACTTTAACAAATTGTGCTTGTCGATAATGGTATCATTAATGATTCAGACTTGATGAAGCCGATATATGTATATATATATATATATATATATATATATATCATGTAGTTACTATAAAGCAACAAATACCCCCCCCCCCTTTTAACCTATTCTATTTGCTCTTCCAGAACTGGGTTAACCCGACAAAGAAGATACTGCATTTCCAAGTTTCTTTTTGTGTTTGATATTCAAATTGAATTTTTCATGGTGTGGATTCTATTTTGGTTTTTATAGGTGTAACTATGGAGGAACCCATGCTGAACTCATCCCAATGGCCATCACATGAGGTGTAAAATTTAGGGATGAGCAACGGGCCGGACACAGACCGCAACGACTCGAAGACTGAAAACCAAAAATCATGAATTACCTTACCCAAAAACCAAACCGTTTTTGGGTATATCGGGTCTGGGTTCGGTCCAGTCCGGTTCCGGGTATTAAACCGGGTTTCGGGTTTTGTATCGAATTATACTTTGGCAGTGTTGTTTACGGTTTCGGTCCTGTTTTGTTCCGAGCACCAAACTGGGTTTCACATCTTTGTTTACGGTTTCAGACTTTGTTTGTCATGTTACTCTCTAGTCTTTAGCATACTATTTCAAATTATAATCTTACTATGTAACATCCATAATTCGTATATTTGTTGTTTGCATAATTCGACTAAAAAATACATAAAAGAAGATGAATGTAAATGTAATAAGTAGCATTATATCATTTATTTATTTATTATTATTTTTTTTAAATCGATGTCTCGTAATTATATGTTACTCATTGTACTGTAATGAATAAATGTAATAAATTTTATGTTGTGTTCTTCAAATAAAATACAATATATTTTGGTGAAAAAATAAAGTATTATTATAATCAATTAATCATATATTTTTTATTATATATTTCACTTGCTTCATATTCGTCAAAAAAAATTCTTATTTGACTTTTATAATTATTTGAGGATGATAACAACAATGACTTGGATCCTTAAAATTCATTTATTTATATTTGGAAACGTGATAAATAAATGATTAGATTAGTAATAAATATTTGCATGTGATATCTATAAAATGAATTAAGGTGAAAATGTTTTCCGGTCCGGTCCCGGGTTAAATCCCGTATTCCGGATACGGTCTGGTTCAAACCCGAAACTCGATTAGCGGTAAAAACAAAACCCGAAAACCGGCCCATTAATATGAATATCCGGTCTGATCCCGGTTTTTTTTCCGATCCTGTCCAATCCAACGAGTCGTATGCTCATCCATTGTGTAAATCATAGAGTATTAGTAAGAGTTTGGGGATGCCAGAATTTGAATCACATACCTTTTATACATAATTCAATACCTTACCTAATAGACTCCTATCTCGTGGAGGAATCTGGATATTGGGACGAATATTTGCTCAAGAACACGAACGTTTATTTAGATTTGAGGTTTGTTTTTGAAATTTATATATATATATATATATATATATATATATATATATATATATATATATATATTATCCGTAATGTGTTTAAAATTGTGTAATGTGTCTAAAAAGCTGAAATCTAAAATTTATCGTTTTGTCAGAAAATTGTACATTTGATTAGAGTGTCAACGATTAGACACAGGACAAAAATATATGACTCCGAAACGAAATTAAGACAAAATTTAAATCCAAATTTGCTATGTTGGATTGTTTTTGCGTCAGTAAGGTAACATTGCATTGTGTATGTTGTGTTTATGTATCTAAAAAGTTGACGTGTGCTATCGTATTAGATAAAAACACGATAATGTTATCCGATTTAACGTCTAATATTTGATGTATCATGAAAATTAGTTCAAAACGTATTAAAAACAAACAAGTTAAAAGTCCGAATTCCTATAAATTCTAGATGTATTTGTGTAATCGATTCCATACTTCGTAAACGTGAAACATAAATATGACGTGTTTCAGGATCTATAATTTACTTTAGTATCTTATACAAATACATACGTTTAAACGAAAAAAAATTGAATAAGGAAAAACTTTAAACAATAATTAATAAAAGGATAAGTCTTAATTCTTAAACCATTTTTGGGGAGAACGCGGCAATGGTTTTAGTCGGCACACAATCACCGGCACGCACCGCCCACAGCTTCCACAGAGCCACCTCCTTCCTTCCTTTCCATATTTATCCATAAATAAATCTACAGATTACACACGCACTACGCACACCTTTCTATAATTTCCTTATATAAGTAACCCTCGGATTCTATTCCCCACTATATTGGACACACAAGGCCACAAGCATTTCTTCAAACACTTAATTTGCGAGTAATTTAGATATGAATCCAGGTGATTCAAATTCAGCTACAACTTCTCCAGTTTCTTCCTTCGCTAGATTCTTCAAGAAATTAGCACCCCCCACCAAGAAATCCCCGAAAGATACATGTGAGGCGTCCTTTTCAGCTCCGCTTTCTGGTGGTTCCGATGACGATATTCATCAGGTGTTTAATTACTTTGACGAGAATGGAGACGGGAAGATATCGCCTGAGGAGCTGAAGAACAGGTTGAAAGGGGTAGGAGGAGAGGAGCATGAGTTATCGGACGAGGAGGCGGAGATGATGGTGAGGTTATCGGATGCAGACGGAGACGGGATGTTAGGGTTGGATGATTTCGCCAAGATGATGAAGGAAGGGGAGGAGGGGGAGTTGAGGGAGGCGTTTGTGATGTATTCAAGGAATTCATCTGTGATCACGCCCAAGAGCTTGAAGAAGATGTTGACACAGTTGGGGCAGTCGACCACCGTGAACGACTGCAAGGCGATGATAGGAAGATTCGACGTTAATGGAGATGGAGTGCTGGATTTCGATGAGTTCAGGGCCATGATGAACTAAGCCCTAGCTCAATTTCAGATTCTTTTATCTGTGTAAAAAAAAAAATGAGGAATTATTTTATCTTTTTCCCTTTCTTCCTATTCTGTAAAAGTATAGAATTTGTAAATACATTGTTAATAAATAGATGAACACGGTCTTTAACAGAAATTGAGATTAATATTTGATGGAACAAAAACAGTTTTTCTATTTGCAAACTATACGACGATCAACTCTCCTACACTATTTGGACTAGGTAAAGATTATTTACATATCAATTTAGTTAACATTACATTCACACATGCAATTAACTGTGGGATCACACATCGGAGATTGCAGAAATCAATCACAGATCATGCGATTGTATTGAATCTACAAACGTTTGATTGATGATCGATTCCTTGTAGGGGTGAGTTGAGAGAAAATGACAAAAAGTAATCAAGAATGGGTGACGATCGATAGAAGCAAGAAGTCAGGGGAAGCGAGAAAAAGGTGTTCTTCAAAATCGTTTAGGACCAATTGTAATGCGATCAGGGAAGGACTCACATGAAATGAATCTTCAAAAGATATCACAATCAGTTTATGTAACGAACTTTCCTAATCACCTGGGAATTTGTGACGTAGGAGAGATTTGTGAAAAACAAGGCGATTGGTGGTTGCTTTTATTGCCTCAAAACTGTCAAAGATTCGGGTTTGTTCGGTTCATCCAGGTTAAAGATATGAAAGATATGGATAAATTGTTGAAGCTCTTATGCGACACGTCGATTGGGCAATTCAGGTTGTTTGCATCAAAGCCAATGTTTGGGAGGTATGATCATGTGAGCAAGCCGGTAGTACATGCAAGGCTGCAAGCAAACCAATGGTGCAATTTCAAAGAGTTAATCATATGTAGCAAGTTAACATGACTTCTTACTCTAAATGTTCTCAAGAAGGATATGACCGGAAGAGCCATGTGGAGGAGAATGTGGTTCTCTTGGAATCGATCGGTCACACAACTAATATTTAGAAGTGACTTATGTAATGATAACGTTAAAATCTTCCATTTTATTCCAAATATTGATAAATCTATGTCGTATTAAGGGTTTTAGTAAGGTAACCATGAAGTATGTTGGGGGTTTATGTAACATAAACCATGACACGTATCACAATATAGTTCGTTTTGGACCCATTCGATATAGAAACTTTCCGGTAGGTCATCAATCTTGAAATTGCTCTCTAGGCATGCTTAATCATAGAGTTCTTGTGAGATTTGTTGTCCTCATGGTTTTAAAACATATTATAACAAATAAAATATCACCCCTTAGAAGGAATGTGTAGTTCTCATTCACAGTCAATGTGGTATAAGATGCATCTAGCCACCCACTTTAGGGGAGAGTTGTAACATCTTGTTTTTATTTAATTAATTACGTCTTTAATTTTATCACATAAAATAAATAACAATTATGCATACAAGTTTACAAGGGATAAATCATTTGTGAGGGACTAAATGGGACGAGAAAAATGTATAGTAAGATTTAAACTCTAGATTCCGAGAGCAGATTCTGCAAGTCACAAAAAGAGAAACAACAAATTTACAACCTAGGTTTTCGAAATCTCCCAGCATATTTCATAATCCGGGCGTCTTCTGCATGCAATGTTTGAGAGCTTCTGGCTTCTAGCTTTTAAGAAAACACTAGTAAAAAAGAAAAAACCTTGTTCGGCGACAGGAGCGTTTAACTTTTAGCCTAAACACAACGCTCCAAAATCAAAACCTACATGGAGTAGCTTTCAACAAAACGCTCCAAAATCAAACGCTACCCGCTACCCGCTAACCGCTAGTTTTACCAAACACGCCCTTCATAATTGTAATGATAACTTTGTTTTTGTTAAAGGTTTATATGTGAATGATAATTTAAAAGTTATGTTTGTTAACGTCTATGCTCCATAAGATGTTAATAAGAAAAATGAGTGTTATGGATGAATATTTTGAGCATGATAAATATATACAATGGTGAAGTGGTTATAATAGGTGATTTTAATGATGTGATAGATTCTTCCAAAAGAAGGGGTCTATTTTTTTATCAAAATGTTCTTAATGCTTTCAATGATTTTATTATTGAAGTGAAGTTGGTTGATGTAGCTATCCGTGGTTATAATTGCATGTGGTCTAATGTTCCAGCTTCTGAAATGAGAATATTTTTTTAAGCTTTCAGAGGGTTTACTTAATTGCATTCCCTCATGTATCACTTCAGATCGTCGTTTGTCGGACCACCGATGGATTCTTTCAGAGAAGCCTGTTAAACGTGCTGTAAGCGTTTACACAAATAAAATTTGTACAACAAGCATGCACAAAAGCAACCAGTGGTGTGGGAGCGAGGATAATCCTAGAAAGAGTGCCTAGGAAGTTAGTTGTAGCTTATAAGCGAAGTAGATGTTAGTGTGCCTAGGAGTGGTCTAGTTCAGTGCCTTAGGACCTTGGGACAAATTCTGAATCGACTACGGATAGGTGTGGAAGGTAGTATGGGTCCGTAATATTGAAAGCACATGATCCGTATCAGATTCAGGAGGAACCTCAAGGCTACTAAGGAACTAATAGGAGTGTGGTCTGGTGTGTTGAGCATTGTGTTTTGATGTCTGATCTTTCCTTGGTATATATTCAGTATGACGACTATTGAAGGTTCAGGATTAGGAGCTGGAAGCACTGGGAGAGCAGGCCTAAGTGAGGAGGAGATCCACCGGATCATTGTTGCCGGAGTGGCCGAGCTGATCAGGGAGGCGACTACAGAGTTGTTTGGGTTGGTCAAGACCGCGTTGATCGAGCAGTTTGATCGAAGTTATGCCGTCATCACGCAGGTAGCTGCTGCTACATCTACAACAGTCGTCACCATTGCAGGATCTCAAGGAGGCGGGGCGATACAATACCGAGAGTTCAGTTATATGAAGCCTCCGGAGTTCAGAGGCGACATAGACCCGATCATCGCTTCGAGATTGATTTCTGACGTTAAGGGATGTTTCTTCACGTGTTCATGTCCTGATGGAAAGAAGGTGAAATTTGCGCTAAATCTTCTTCGTTGGGGAGCGAAGGATTGGTGGGAGTTTGTGACCCACAGATTTTTGTATGCAGAGTGAGCTTTAGTGACTTGGGATCAGTTTTTGGATATGTTCCGAGCAGAGTATGTTCCTCTTGTGGAGTGGGAGTGACTGGCACATGAGTACCTGTTGCTCAAGAAGACGTCGAAGTTGGTAACGTAGATCACCAAGATGTTTACAGAGAGAGGTCTTTTGGCCCTGAGTATGCCGCTTCAGAGCATTCACAAATGTCGCGATACTTAAGTATGCTCAAGACGGAGATTCGAGAGTTTGTATCTACTCAACAGTACCAGACCTTGACTGAGATGCAGTCAAGCGCTAGGAGGAGGGAGATTTAATTGTAGATTCAACAAAAGGAGGAGGGAACAACTTCAGGACAGTATCAGCCGGCAACCAAGTGGGTCAAGTTCGCCGACCCGGGTTTAGGATCAGCTGAGGGGAGGAGTTCCGAGTGTGGCAGGTGCAGGAAGTTTCATGATGGGAGGTGCCGATCGTTTGTACGTCACAAGTGTGGCGAGGAGGGTCATTTTGGTAGGGATTGCAGGTGGAGTTCGCAGGCTTGTTTCCATTGCGGTCAGGAGGGCCACTTCAGAGCTCGTTGTCCCTTTCTCATTTTTGGTGAGGTGTTGGACCCTAAACCCCTAGCTTGGCAGTTACCTGAAGGTTGACGTGGGACAACGGGAGTTTCGGGGGCCAAGGTTTGAGTTATCAGTTCTTCTATTTAGTCGATTGTTGTAGTGTTGGTATTCATCTGTATTTTCTGTTTATGTTTTGAAGTTCAGTTGTAATTTTGGATGATCAGTTTAAGGGAATTGTCTTATTTAGCTCTGTTTAAATTGATTTCTTATTATGAATGGATTAATTATCCTTTTCCTCGATGGTATATGTATTGGAAGTTTATGAATGATGTGTAGGTTTAGATTCTCCTATGTATCTGGATATCAGTGGTTGGGATCAAGTGGTAGAGTTCAAGTTAGTATGGGTATCAAAGGGTTGTGAAGTTGTTAGATTCTAACATACTTCAAGTGAGAGATAATGGAACCTCGTAGCAGGAAGACCCTATACCCAAGTTCAGTTCTCAGTCAATATTTTTCCAGGTTGAAGATGTCTGTGCAACTGTTGGATTTCCCTCGATTTCCCTCGATTTGTATTAGTTATAGTTGCAATAGAAATCTATAGGGCATGCTTGTGCATTAGACTATAATGTGTTAGGAGCCTAGGTTGAGGGATGCGATGAGGGCTTCCTTGCTTGTTCTTGTCTGATTGGGGCTTGGAAGTCTGAGTCGCGGACCAAGGGCCTGTGGTCAGTTAAGTCTTGTTGGGATCAATCTGCGTCTTGTTAGGCTGCGAGTGTTATTGTTGGTTCGTAGATCAGGGGTAAGCCCAAGTGGTGTTGTTGGTTAGCAGATCGAGGGTAAACCCGAGTACTATTGTTGGTGAGTGGATCGGGGGTAAGCCTGATTATTGCCAGTAGATAGCTGAGCAGAGATGTAACACTCGATTTGGGTATGTTCCTTTTTGGCCCTTTGTATTTAATTATTGCATTTTGGTCCATGGAGTAGTACGCGGGGCGTACCACTTGGTACGCTTAGCGTACTAGCTGAGAAGCCAGTATGCGGGGCGTACCACATGGTACGCTTAGCGTACTAAGGTAGAGTTGGATCGAGGGTGCGAGGCCTCGTATACTGGACGTACGAGGATTACGCTTGGCATAATATGCAGACTTGAAAACCCTAATTTTAGGGTGTTGCACCTTATATAAAGTCCTTAAGTCCCTAGGGTTGGCCTCTTTACTAGCCTCCATACCTCTTAAACCCTTAATATCGACCTTTAGCCTCCATTGTTGTGTTTTTGAGCTTTTGAGAAGAAGTTGGTGCTTATTTTTCTCATTTTGAAGGGATTGAAGAAGAGTGAAGTTGTATTGCTTGGTGTGAAGCTTATAGATCCAGAATCAC